CACCGGCGGCCACTCTGCAAGCCCGCACCAGCTCTCTCCTCACATTCCTGGTACTTCATTTTGGTGCTACCTCCTGAGTGTTGCCTAAATTTTGCTTCCAGAACTCGCACTATGGTAGAAATTAGTGTAGAACCTGTGACAAGCATTACTCAGTGTGACACATTTCGGTACGTTCCTATAATGGGAAAAACCCCCTAGAGAACACTACATCACAGGACTCTGTGTGCAGACAGTAACCACACTGTATCATAAGGCTGCTGCAATGAAAAATCTCCTTACATGAAATGAGACTCCTGTTTAAGTCACTAGGTCAAGTAAAAACGTTTTGCTGTGACTTTCTATGACAAATAGTCATAACTTAGTGAGTTAGAGAAAATGTAGTTATGTATGTAAGAATATCTGAGAAGCAGGACCTGACCTAGATTTTTTATTTGCATGCATGTGTACATACTGTGCTAAATGTATATGAAGAGAAAAATGCACCAGGCAGTACTAAAGCTTGCTTATTTGCACTGCAAGCCCTGGCCTTGCACTTCACACCTCTAAATATAAAACCTAGAGCAAGGCCTGTGTATGCAAAGGCATAACTCCTGCATCCAGCTTATAAACAAGCAATGATGCTGCAAAACCCACCACACTTCTTCTATCACTGACATCCGGTCTGCCTCCCTACACAAGCACGAGGTTCATCACCCAACAACAAATAAGAAGGCAAACAGGTGTTAAAATAGAATTAATATGACAAGCTCATAGCTCCCCCACTGCCCATGCCTGTCAGGACGGGCCTGGACATGCTCTGCTCCTTTTGGGGAAGAAAGAGCCAACCCAGGGGGAAAGGGGAAGTATGTCACATTCAGTAATCACTCTCTAGTGTCTTCTCCAGTTCTTCTATCTGAGCATGTGTTGACACAACCCATAGTTTTACCATGTCTAGTTATCCGCATCAACTGTTAAACAGCTTTATCAAAATAAATCAGCATGTGGTTTTTTAATTATGTTATTCATTACATACTTAACAACAGCAGCACATCATGCCAAAAAGCACTACTGGGAAAACCCGTCAACTGTTTGGCAGGACTGACGTAATAGACATTCTTCTGATTCTTCTACCTGTTGAACCCGTTTATCTTTAGAAAGGTACACATATTGCACTTCATTTTAGTTGCAGGTTTGCAGGTTACAATGTTTTATTTTTATCAATTTAATTTTTCATTAAATTACAAAAATGTGTTTAGTGTCAGTTTTGGTTTGTAAAAAGAAATAAATTTATAAACACAATGTTTCTCTTTTTTCCCCTCTTTCCTACTTTAAATGCACACATTTTCCTATTTTCTAAGGCACAGAGAGCCTTTGTACCAGAGTCAAATTCCTTGTGTGTTCAAACATACTTGATTAATAAACGTGATTCTGATTGTCAGGCGTGGTCATAACATGCTCTCTCTCTGTGTTACTCTTGAATAAAGTGTCAGCAATAATTTGGAAAAATAAATAACTCCTTGCAGAAATCACTGCTGCCAAAAATATTATAGCATTATGCTGGCTGGAAACTTTTTTTTTTGTTGCTCTTTTTATTCTGTTTTAATATATGCAATAAAACAGTTGGTCAGCTGCAGAAAAAAAACATATTTCTATGTCATTTTAAGTTGCTACTGGCTAAGAATAAACAAGGTATTACTCCATGAAAATGCTGCCAACTGGGCTGCATCCATCACTTGGTATTGGCGTGACTGGGATAATGCAAAACAAGCATCACTGAAGACTATTTTTCATTTTCAGACTTGCTCAGTGAGCTTTCTGAATCAACAAAATCATTTATAAAAATAAAAAAACTGCAGCTGTCTAACAATGACAGTGGATTGCTGGAGGTTTAGCCCAATACTGTGCTGTGAATCAGAGGTGAATCAGGAACCATACAGAGACCCGACCCACCCAGACTCACATGACCTGGTGGATGACCTCTTCCCAGTAAATGCACTTTATACAAAGGCCCCAGCGTGACCAAGACCCCTACCATGAGCCCAGCGCTGGTGGTGTGTATGTGCATGTGGGCGTACGAGGGGGCTGCATCCCATAATACCAAGTGACCAAGAGCCAGACAAGAGCTGAAGCCAAGCCGGAGGCCCCAAAAACGCCTCCACTCCTTCCTGCAGCGCCACACACCCTCCATTGTTTTTTCGCCACAATAAAGTCTTTCCACTGATTATCCCAGTAGTCAAAACATCAATATCCTGCTGGCCAACAAAGGTGGAATAAATTAAGGGATTTCTAGTAAATGCTTTTCCTTACTGACCCACAAGTTTGAAAATACATCCTCTCACCAACTACAGTAGAAGAGCAAACAGCACACCATGATCTGAAAACACACCAGGTATTTGCTTTGCTTTTTCTCAGCTCAATTTTATATTTGAAATAAGAGACATCAGACAATTTCACTCTCAGTCATGTATAACAACTTTCTTTCACAGTCATTTCCCACACATTCAGTGACAAAGTACATTTCAATAAAGGTGTGTCTTTAAATGACAGCCCTCAAATATTAAATATATACAATTTTCCGCTTATCCCTTTCAAAGTCTGGCCGAGCTCCTTCCTCTGTCACATGTACATGAAGAACAAGCTATTCATTGCACTGGTGATGTGGTGTTGCTAAGACTTCTCTGTCTTAGGGTTCTCCACCTATCACACCAGTTAATATCCAACAAATCACATTAGTTATTATTCAGCTCTCTCAACAGAGCGACATAAGACGAAACCACGAAGTAACTACTGGTACAAAGCTAAAACATAATTCTCCAATATTGAAAGCACACAGCACACCAGGATGTGTCTACTGAAAAAATCTCCCTCAGTCTAGTCCCATGTTTGAGCTAGTCATTCACTCTTGACTCATGACGTGCAGACAGCACTGGCCAATATTACCACACCTTGAGACTTCCTCAAAGCAATGTCACAGCATTTGTGTGAGTGCTGGTAGTCTTCATAGCATTACTTAACTCACAGGCCACAGTACTTTGGTGAGCCACAGTGTGAATTTAATGCATTTTGTTTGTGACTACAAACAAAATTAACAGCTCTATGTTTTTTTATTCAATATATATGTGAGCGTTTTTGATGAACTCACACCTCACATGATTATTGCAACATTTTGGGAAACATTCACTTTTTTGCCTATAGTTAGACTGATCTCACTTTCATGTGTGTAAAGCAAATGAAGCAGGAACCAGGAGATGGTTAACTAAGCATAAAAACTGAAAACAGAGGCAGCATCTAGTGAGACTATCTGGCTACCAGCCAGCTCACTACTTCACACATCATATCTCACTTGTGCGGGACTATGTCTCGGTCAGGAACTGAAATCTCACTGCTTGCTTGGTAACCTCTCGGT